TTTAAAACGTGACAAGGGGCAGTCACTTTTATGGACAGAATTTCAAGGCGCAGCCTTGGGCTGGAAGGGGTCCGGTTCGGGGACTACAAGATTTCATCTCTGTTATTCACAGACAATGTTGTTCTGTTGGCTTCATCAAACATGGACCTTCAGCATGCACTGGGGCAGTTTGCATGTATGTGTGTGTGTGTGTGTGTGTGTGTGTGTGTGTGTGTGTGCTGCAAAGAGTATTTGTGTGAAACTCATAATTTCAGAAAGGTTTGAATAAATTCCACAACAAATACATCAGATTAACTCTAGACCTTATTTCAGCTTCATCCGTGTCTGTCTCTATCACTGACTGCTGTTTATCTGACATAACGCATGAGAAACAGACACGCACGTCAGAACAGCGGGCGGGAAGAACCAGCTCATTTAGGTATAAAACAATAGTCCTCAGACACTAAAATATACCAATTCTACATTATATAATAAATCTGATATGTATTTTGAGCTGAAACTTTATAGACACATTCTGGAGACTAAAATAAGTGCCCTTTAAAATGTAACTAGTTACAGTGTAACTATTCAATTAACTACTGAGTAAAATTAATTAACTACTAGTACTTACTATACGGTTGAGGTTAGAATGTGGGTTGTTTAGGGTTGGTTGTAATCATGTACCTACTGTATGCATAATACATTGTAATTACTATAGTAAGTGCATGGGATATGTGTAACTACGTGACCTTAAAGTGTTACAGTAAGTACACGGAACGTGTAAAGAAAACCTTAAATAGTTACTGATGCTAATATGCAGGAGTGTGTTCAAATTGCAAAAGGATTCAGATATTACAAAATAAACCTTTCAAATAAGCTCTTGATAGTAAACGCTAGTTAGTGCATTAAATAACATCAAGAGCAGGATGTTTGTTGACATTTGACATCAGCTATGATGTTAATGTTTGCTTAAATATTCAGTTTTAAGCTAACATATGTATTTTATGCAATTAGCGTTCGACTTTATTAGACTATTAGTTACTTTTGATATCAATAAGTTATTGAATTATTGAACTAAAAACTGACCATCACCTAAGATGAATAGATGTTTTACATGAACAGATGTAGTGGATGTATAAAGCAGTAAATATCCTGCATGTTAAAGGCCAGATTAAGAAGTGAAAATGATTATGTTTGAAAATAACAAGCCAATCTTACAAAATACATAATATGTACTTTTATTTTCATTAAAATATCCAGAAACCACTAAACAGTGTTATATATTTTGCTGTCTTATGGACTTTTACATTATCCCAAATGTTTTGAAGAATGTTCATATCCAAAGAAGTAATTGATTTTAACTAGTAATACAGTGTCTTCACTTTTAGCCACACTTCAAACCATGTCTTGAATACATTAGCTCAACCATTAACATAATTTCTGAAGACCACGACTTTCATGATTCCATGAGTCACTGCATCATCAAACTTCACCTTTGTTTGTGATGAATATGCGCCTTCTAGTGGTGAAAATGACATACTGGTCCTTTAATAAAGAAAAGGCCATGCAATGCGTATGTCAGGGGTTTGTTTGTGTCTGTTAACAGACTTTTGGGTGGTCAATGACATCACTTGTGATCTGTCCTCAAGACAGGCCATGTTCTTGAGGACCTGAGCTTAGCTCGTAATAATAAAGCAGAGCCGCTGGGTTGGGGATCAGCGATGTTCTTGGACTCTATTTCTAGGGTCAAGAGCTCAAAGATCTCTGTCTCAAATTAACTCTAAGACTCTTAAAGACGTCATGGTTATATAACAGCAGAGCACAGGCGACTGCAGGTGGACAAGAGATGCTGACGTCCCCTCAGTGAGCCCAGGACAGGTGACACTAAACACCAAACAAGCTGTTTTCAGCAGCTATGATTAGCCATGCTGGAAGAGAACAAATGCTAAGTAATATAATATAAAGAAGCTCATTACTGTAAGTCCAAGATGAGGATTAAAAAGTGATTAAAAAGTGACAAAAGTTGGTGATATTAATAGCAGAAAAATACAGAAAAATAAATATGATTTAAACTCATTTTCAAAAAGTATCATAACTAGGAACAATTGTTTACACTGTTTTAATTAAAAATAATACTGAAATAAAATAAAAATGACATTTTACATGAAATATTCAAACTATTGATGCCTTGGAAGCCAAGTGACTTTCATTTATTAAAACAAATAAAAATAAATTAAAGTGAAATAATATTTAAAAGCGATCACATTAATTTTGTCAATGTTGTATATATTTATTTATCCATAATGACACGGGACAGTTATATAGATAAATTTATCTAGCAGTCAACAAAAAAGAAAAATTAGAAACATTTAATGACAAATACATGCAAATTAGCATTATATAACCATTACTTTAGCAAATAAGCTTATATTCAAGTGGTAAAATACTAAAATATCAATACAAAAATTAAAACGAAGGATAAATATGAACAAAAATGTTTAAAAATGAACAAATAAATAAACTAAAATTACCCTAAACTTAAATATTAGATGCAACAAACTTGTTAGATAAATAGTAAAATTAGATAATACGATACCTTTGCTAACTAACCAAATTTGAATTTCCAAAATGTACCAAAATCCATCTCTCTATACTTTTTCAAAACCTTTCATTCTTAACTTCTGTTATCTGAAGCCAATCTCAAAGCATGTCTTTTACCAGCTTTACTGCTATCCAGGTTATATAAGAAAGAGAAAGACAGCATCGAAAACGTTTGCAAGCTGAAATCAAATCGACATCTCCATATAAACAGTGCTGAATTTTTAACCCACCCATTTTCACTCTCGTCTTTCGTCTTGCATCAGCCCACAACAGCCAATTTATCAACTAATGACTCTGTTGACAAGTCTTGAAAAGCATGGGCTGTCAAAGCCAGAAATAAACTCTCGTATCAGCAGACGAACAAATAATGAAACAGGATGGTGTGCATCATGTGACAATCGATCGCTCTCCTCTGTTACCATCAACCCTTCAAAACCACACAGGCCGAATCAAAACCACCAGCACTGAAACTCAAGCATGACTGTGGAAAATGTACGTGAGGGGGCTTCAAAAACTCTTCAAATGCTCTTAACGTTTCCTTTTTGGTCACCAAAAGAAACATTTGGCGTTGTTTACAGCGTAAGAAAGAACAGTATTTTCTCGTATGAGTTATCATGGGCTCATCTAGTGACATATTGTGGAAAGTTCCTTCACATATACAGCAAAAGGGTCAATGTGTATCTGCTAAAATCATAAAGAGAGGAGGGAAACACAAAAGAACTTCAAGCGGATTCAGAAATAATGACACAATGGCTTTTTAAAAGTGCACAATTATACCCAAAGGGTCTAGATTTTATAGTCCCTGCAGTATTTGAGGCAATGTTTATGCCATTTACTGTTGCTTTGCTTTCAAAATACAAACAACAATCTTGTGAATTTTGTTGATTTCAAGGTGCTATGTAATTTATTTAAAGGAAACACTAAAGGAGAAACTTAGATTCTAACCTCTTAACCCACTATATTTACCCTCTACCACAGGGTGTTGACATGATATTTATGTTCATTTCCCTGCCACTGTCTCTTTTAGACCAACATTGAACTTTTTTTTTGTTGGAAAGGGAAGACCTTAGTTTAGCCAATGATGTGCTTTGGGTAAGTCACATGACGTGCAGTGTTTTATGTGGCGCAATTTCTGACAGACTGGAGTTTAGTGTAAGTAGCTGCTGAATGCAAATAAAAACATCAATAAAAACAAAGGATCAACTCAAGCCATAACTCTATATAGTCATAATGACATATACACAATTCAGAATGTTTTGGTTTGATCAAATTAGTTTTCTGTAAATCAATTAAATGTGTGTGTTGCCAAATGGCAACACTGTGCAATAGTGAAATGTGCAATGATGCAATAGGTTAGCTATAGCTAGCAAGGTCAGCTGTGATCTTTTAAGTTGTAACAATAACAACATGAATGCTAGTAATGTATTGTTGATTATTTGTATGTTAATGGCACTTGCATGATGGCTTAAATCACATTTTAAAGGCAATACTTTTAAAATAAATACAAGGAAGAGTGTATTAGTGAGGACCACCATGTTATATGGTCATTTAAAAAAAGAAAAGGATCTTCCTCCGCATGGATGTGAGGACGTGATGGGTTTCAGTGACCATGAGAATGATGCAGATTGGACATTTGATAAGAGCAGTGATGGAGACAGTTCAGGTAAGTTAGATCTGAGGCAGATAGGACAGACATAGTATATAGTATAATATACATTGTTAGCTAGTAGCTACATCATTCTGATGCATCTGGATATATTAGACTTGTTTTTTATTTGTTATAATATTTACTGGAGGAAATATTTATAGCTACTGTATGTTGTATACATGATCACACAATATTATGCTTGTTTTCAATAATATTCAGCAAAAAAGAATGGAATAAATGAAAGCTGTTTGAATATCGGTTGTTGGAAAGTATGTATAAGGTGTCATTTATAAGTTCTGTGATAAAGCTTTTAATACTGCAACACCAATTAAATCATTCAAAACAACAAAATTAATAATTATAAGGAAAATTTAACATTTGAAATTTCTAAGTTAGATCCACTGTTGGACATTGTTGCCATGGCAACATATCAAAAAGTACCTTAAAAAACAAAATCCCCCTAATTTTTAGTACTGCACTTCAAGTTTAGCCATTCTAAGAAAAGTTAAACAGAAAAATGTTTAGTATATATATATCATATTGCATGCAGTAGAGGACTTTCACACAAACGACTAAAATGACCAAAATACACAACTCTAAATAATGTGTACTATAGTAAATTCATTAGAATTTGAAAGTTATGCTAATATATGTTGGTTGAATATAATGTCTATGTGTTAATCAATGTATCCACTCAATTACAGTTAAGTGCTTTCATCATAAAACTAAAAGCTTAAAGTGCTAAATTACTATTTATTTCCTATTTACTCACCCTCAAGTAGATCCAAACCTTTATGAGTTGTTTTTTTCTGTTGAGCACAAAAGAAGATATTTTGAAGAATGTTAGAAACTGGTAATAATAAACTTCCATAGAAGGAAAAACAAATGTTATGGTAGTCAGTGGTTGGTTACTTCTTTTGTGTTCAACAGAAAAAAGAACTCAAACAGATTTGTGACAAGTGGAGGATGAGTACATGATGAGTATTGTTGGGTGAACTATCCCTTAAATGTCATCTCACAAAAAACAGTATTAAGAAACTAAGAGCATATACAGTTGAAGTCAGAAATATCTTTTTTAAATGTTTTCCAAATTATGTTTAACAGAGCAAAGAAATTTAAACAGAATGTCTGATAAAATTGTTTCTTCTGGAGAAAGTCTTATTTGTGTTATTTTGGCTAGAATAAAAGCAGTTATTCATTTTTTAAACACCATTTTAGGGACAAAATTATTAGCCCCTTTTAAGCTATATTTTTTCTCGATAATCTACAAAACAAACCATCGTTATACAAGATCTTGTCTAATTATCCTAACCTGCCTAGTTAACCTAATAAATCTAGTTAAGCCTTTAAATGTCCCTTTAAGCTGTTTAGAAGTGTCTTGAAAAATATCTAGTAAAATATTATTTACTGTCATCATGGCAAAGATAAAATAAATCAGTTATTAGAAATGAGTTATAAAAACTTTTATGTTTAGAAATATGTTGAAAAAAATCTTCTCTCCGGTAAACATAAATTGAGGAAAAAAATAAACAGGCGCGCTAATAATTCTGACTTTAACTGTATGTGTATATATATAGTCGATTTATATAAACATCATATATTAAAAAAAAAAAAAAAAAAATATATATATATATATATATATATATATATATATATATATTTTTTTTTTTATTTATTTATTTTTTTTTTTTATATATGACGTTTATATAAATCGACTGCAATACGATTGTAAAAACACTGCTTTACACTAGTGTCAATATTTAAATAAATTAAAAATTCCCCATATTGTTATTTTTTCCAGTTTAAGCCTGATCTGAGCTTTCTTTGTATTCTCACAACTCTGTATATAAGAACAAATAGAAGTTCAGTCATTCTAAAACTGTAGCATGCTCAGTTTAGCTATGGATGTCACATAGCTATAAACTTCATGCAACCTTTGCAGGACTGTTGGTTTATGTGGCTTTGTTTTGGTCAGCATTTACCACTGTTTGCACTTTATATCTGTTCTATGCTGACAACAGAATAAATGCCACATCCAGAATAAATTAAGCACTTTTAAAACCATTTAGTACAGTTTTCCTCCTAGTCATGTGACTGTAGCAGATTTTCATTTGCATTAGTATTACAATCGTGGACTCTAAACCAATAAAAAAAATGTATAGGTATAATAAAATAAACAAAATTGGGAGAGTAGACAAATATAAAAGGATGATAACGTGTACAGTATACTTCAAAATGAGGTTTCAATAATGCATAAATAATAATAGTTAAAGCATTAACAGCAACAGTAGAGAACCAACTACATTTGTTGGCATAAAAATACAACTGAACTTTATTAGCCCCATTAAAACAGTTACAACCTTTGAGTTATTCAACATTAAGAAATTAACATCACCCAAGATTAATAAATGTAAATCTTCTGTTTATTTTAGTTAACCTATGTATTTATAAAGCATTAACAAACAAAATACCTATTAGGCTTCATTTAAACAACATCTCAGGCATGTCATAGACCAGACTAACATGTAAAAACATGTATATGTAAGAAAATAAATCACCTATTAATACTTTAATAATTTAGTGCTATAAAATAAATTTCTAAATTTCTTAAAAGGTAATCTTAAAGTTTACATATTATTTAAAAAGAATTTACATAATTTTGTGCCTCTAAGAACAATATCGTACATGTTCCTTGTCATAGTATATATTTGAATATTGGCATGTCTTCAAAAAATCAATATTGCATGCATTGCAAATTTTTGTTTGTTTGTGCTTCTTTTCTTGTGGATATCTAAAAATCGTAAGTCAAGATAAATTAAGTTAAGATCCAAAATTAAGCTCTTGTATTCAGAAAAACTTTCTAACTTCAAATCACAAAAAAATGTCAGCAATACATAAAAATGCCCATGAAATTCAATACAAGGGCCAAAACAGTCTCAAGAATATGGATAAAATTGCTGTTTTTCTTGATCATTTTCACAATTGCAAAACTCATTTCATACAACAGATCAATAAACAAAACGTTTATAATAATTTAACTTGTAAAGATCTAACAAATGCCCTGCACAACAGTTACAAGTCTCTCAACAAAACAAAGTATATTTTATTGGTGAGCATTTTTTGAATAAAATGGTTAATTAAACTCTTCAATGACCCATTCATAAAAACATGCACTTGCTTAACTTACATATTAATACACTGACTCGCCAACACTTCCTTTTTTCAACATTGCAAAACCTATTTGAACTCTAACAACCATATGGCGTTATTAACCTTTCTTAAGAGTTTGACACATTCATCTTATGAACAAAAATGTCTCAATAAAATTACTAAATCCTTCGGAAATTATTTTAGAGGAGGGATTTAGCCAATTTTATCTCTATGGCTAATCGGGTCCATTTTTTGGCCACGAGGGCTGGTGTCCCTAGCTGCGTGCACTCTCAGCAGTCTCACTTTTTTCATTTATTTATTTGACCATAGCCTCACTCTTTTTATTCATTAATTTGCCGCAGCTCGTCTCTTTCTATTTATTTTCTCGTAGCCTGCAGGTTAATGATGAAGTAACATTCTACCTCAAACAGCGGCACCTTAGCGAATATATAAGAATTTGAATAATTAATATTAATGAATATTACACATGCCTAATGAAAATCAGATGATTCACTACATTAATGAATCTGACATAACTTGATCAGAAATCAAGGGGAGAAAAAGATTAAGCCATCAATAGAAAGTAATACTGTGGTTAAAAGAGTCTTGCAGATAACATTGCAATACTTATTTTTTATTCTAAACGCACTGACTTTACAGTGCCATTGTGGTCCAGTGGTCAGTACGTTGCGTTTCAGAGCCGCTGACCTAAGTTGGAACCTCACCTGAGTAAATTATCATTTTTACTTTTACATTTTTTTGTGTTAAGACATATAAAACTGTTTGGGTTACTTGTGTAGGTGTACATATTTTATTTTTTTGTGTGACCACCATTACAAAGGACTGGATATCTTTAAAGAATTTTGCACAGAATATATATTCAGATATTGCAGGAAAGGACATTGTGATGTTTTAAAGAATAGTGTTGGAGATTTAGCTATTTAATGTTCTCATATTTATGAAAAAAAAGTTCTAAAGCAGCTGGTTTCTTGAAAAAGACGTGATGGTGTCATTAGAAACTGAATGGAAATGATGCTATTTTATTATAGTCAGTTGTGAACTGAGGTGGGTTGGTCTAAGGCTTGAAACTCCAGGGCTGAGAAGGAGTCCCATTCCGGCCCTGCTATATAGTATATATTATTAAAGTCTGCATGAACTGGAGGTAGCTGCAGACTTTAATCTTAGTATTTCCAGCTGAAACACATTGTTGAGTAGGGGTTGAGTTTTTAAATGTACCTGTCATCTTTTACTTACAGCCAACTAATGGTAAAAGGGGCGTGGCTGAGCACATTTAGTCATCAAATAAGCATATTTAATCATCAAACTGACATCATTAGAGAAGCGCTGCCATTTAAGAGCGAAGCAAATAGTTAGATTTTGATTAAAGATTACCAAAACAGTTTTAACCTTAAGACTGACAATGTATGCCAGCAAAATAATCAAAATTTTAAACTTTAATTTCATGCAGACTTTAATTGGTGAAGCTAATTATACTAATATTGGATCTCTAGAGAGATTACATTTTAAATCCACTTATTGGAGGCATATTAACTGCATAAAACTTCCAATGCACCAAATTATTTTCTGTAACGTGAAAACATTGTTGCATTTTCTTTAGCTAACTATCTAACAAATCTCTCTCGCTCTCTCCTTGTACCTGCAGGATTAACTCAAGGTTCTGCAGGGCTAATCTGAAGCAGTAGGATATAAATATAGACTCGTGTGTGTGTGTTATGTAAGGCCCACTAAATATCTTATACCAGGACTTGGCGATAAAGAAAACACAAGTGTATTGGATTCCACTGGTAATGTGCTTTTGTGTAAATCATAAGTAAGTTGTACTATTCATCACAGTGGAGATACATATGCAACAGTGAGACTGGCCAAATAGTAAACGAACGAAACTAAACATTCAGTATAAAATAATTCTGCATGAATGTATAAGTCTGTGATTATAGTAGTGTCAGGTCTATCAGGTCCTTGATGCCTTCAGGAATTGGTTCTAAAGCACTGTGAAATAAGAAGAGTATGCGTGAATAATGTTTCTGTGAGTATAAGCAGTTGAAAGCTAAAATAAATGACCTTATGAACGTCTCACTTATGAGAAAAATTCAGCGAATGCACTTGAAAGTAGTTATAAATATCACACACTCTCGGCTGACATTTTTTACCCAATGCTAAGGTCGTTAAAGGTCCATATTTCCTGTCAGAAGAAACTGCAAATCCATTAATACCCCATCTTTTGACATGAAACATGTTGTGTCAAGTTCAAATGTAAACGTCCAGCCATCAATCTAAAAGCGTTCACTTTTTTTGGTAAACTATCCCAGCTTGACCTCCATATATCTGTGAGAACGACACCGACCGCCATCGCTAGACAATTCCAGCACATGCTCTTCGTGTAAATATTTGCAGAGCTGCTATTTTTGGAAGCATTTTTTTGTACCGTTTACAGTTTTAAATCGTGGTCAATTGGAGCTAAAGTGACGGGACACTTCAGATGATGAAAACAAACAGGAAATGCTTTTATATTACAGCCTCTTTGGCCATAAATTGAATGTAGAGGAACTCAAGTGCGAAATCACTATCGCTCAATACTACGATTCAATATAATGTAATTATTACTGTTCTCGGCTGCTGTCGCTGGAGTTTAGCATTACAGTAACCCTCCGCCTCATTAAAAACACATACAGTCAATCCAAACACTCACTCAAAAGCTCCCAAGATCTAGACAAGTGACACTAAAGGCTTTCAGCATGATCTGAATCTTAGAGAAGATGGAGGCAGTCTCTATATATATACTGTCTACAATCTGTTGTTAGTTGCACAAATGAACCAAGTTATTCTTAGATTGCATTGGTCATCATGCTGATTCCAATATCAAACCATACAAGTGTTAATTACTGGAACAAGACTTTATGATTAATACTCTAGAGATGAGACTATTATTATTCATGCTTTCCCTGAAAGCATTTAGCTTTCTGGTAATCAGTTATTAAATAAGATGCTTTATATGCAAACAATGGTGGTAAGTGGTTGTAAACAATTTATTTGGGCTGAAATTAAACAAACAAATTAAGTTAAAAGTTACCTAATTTAATTTGTTTGTTTAAATTCAACCCATATACAGAAGTCAGAATTATTATGGAGAAAAAAATTGCTTAAAGGGGCTAATAATTTTGACCTTAAAATGGCTTTGAAAAAATTAAAAACTGCTTCTATTCTAGCCGAAATAAAACAAATAAGACTTTTTCCAGAAAAAAAAAAATATTATCAGACATGCTGTGAAAATTTCCTTTCTGTGTTAAATGTCATTTGGGAAATATTTAAAAAAGAAAAAAAATTCTAAGGGGGCCTTCATTGTTTGCAACAATTTTGCAGACATCATTTTTCAGCTTGTCAAAATAAAGACCATTCTAGATTGTTTAATATTTATATGTCTTTAAACAATAAAATATTAAAGTGATTATTCAAAATATTTTATTTAAAACACAGATATTAAAAACTGAAGCAATTTTTTAAATAGGCCTAAACTCTGACTGTTACCTTAAAAATCTATTTGACCTGATTTTACCCATAAAATTTACTTTGTTGAAAGAATTACTATAATTTTGATATTTAAGATATATAAAAAAATATTGGAATTACAGATTATAAATTATAGTTTTTACTTTATTTTTAAGGATGCAATTCTACATTAATCTACACAGACAGATATATAGATAGATAGATAGATAGATAGATAGATAGATATATAGATAGATAGATAGATAGATAGATAGATAGATAGATAGATAGATAGATAGATAGATAGATAGATAGATAGATAGATAGATAGATAGATAGATAGATAGATAGATAGATAGATAGATAGATAGATAGATAGATGGGGCAAGGGACAATTTCTATCTGTCTATTTATCTGTCTGTCTGCTGTCTGTCAGATTTTTTTATAAAGATGTACAATACAATATTAAAACTTAAAATGTTCTTCAAATGATAAGAAACCAAAAGTGGTTCAGTCACTTTTTGAAGCTTTATTTCAGAGTGCACACTTTGATGTCAGGTCAGCCACCCACAGACTCTATGAATTGAATTGATGTTTTCATTATCAACACTGTTCCAAAGAAGCTTTTGAAAGAAAATGGCCCTACAAGCCAAACACAAGCAAAGATTACGATGGCAAAGTAAAACCTTCACCTCCAGTGACCCTACCTCCGCGTAGATGATGTGATTCGATTTCACCTGTTGGACCTCGTGTAGTCGCCAGCTTTCTTTCCTCTTTTCTTCCCTCTCTCTATCAACTGTGAATGTCGGCAGCTCTTGACAGGAAGCTCTTTAAACAGACACTCCCCTCTGCATTTATTTCCTTCTCTCTCTCTCTCTTTCTCTTGCTCTCTTTCTCTCTGGGGCTTTACAAAACTCTCCCACAAAGCCAAGCGTCTCTGTTTCCACATCCCTACAGGCCGTCACAAATTTCCAAGCGCCCACTTGCGTCTTTTCTGACAGACAGTACATGCGCCAAAACCTTTCTCCCCGAGCGGTATGTGTGTTTTCTGTTACATCAAACAACCTACATGCATGCCACAACAATGCAAAGAGAAAAAAAAGTCTCTCAACAACTTCCTGCAACCTGAGATGTTTTGTTAAGTGTTCTGAGAAAATGCCTGTCATTTAGCCTTGGTTCCCAGTGATACTTTAACTGACTTTATCTCATTCCTCTATTTTTTATTATTATTTTTTTTGTACAGCACTAATAATCAACTACTCATTAAAGAGAATTAAGTCATTTCAAATGGCTTGTTTCCTCTTTCACATTAATCCATGTGACTGTAAAGGAATGGGCCTTATACATGTTCCTTCTTGTTCAAACTACTTATATAAAATGAGCTGAAACAACACAATTCTTGAGATTTTTTTGGGGAAAACTTAATTATTTAATGTCCAATTCACTTGTATTTGTTAAGTGAACTTAATCGATTTGTGTTGGGAGAACTTGAATGTATTGTGCACTAAAAAAAAAAAATTGTCCAAAATTGTTGCAAATAATTTATTTGTTGAAATGTTGAAACATAATTTATATGTTCAACTTAATTTGTTTGTTTAAATTTAACCCAAATTAATTGTTTTCAGCCACTTAACTTAAAAAATCCAAGGAATCATCTTTAAATATTTTTTTCAGTGTGTGGAAACCTGCATTTTCTTTGCAGTGCAGTGTGTATAAAAGCATGTATAAAGGTGGTGCTGTTTTTATACTATTAAATGCTTGCATTGACTTTTTAAAATGGAATTCATGAGCTCATATTAATCGCATGGGCTATTAGAGATTGGACTTTCCTTTATGCATTTAGTTTGCATTTAACACTTAACAACAATATCACTTACTAGTACTAGTCATTGCTTTACTGTTTTTCCTGTTTGTCTGATTTAAAAACCTTAATCTTTTCATGCCATTTATACTCTGGTGAGCCAAAGTGCTGCCATTATCCTCATTTGTACACCACTTTAGATAAAATAGTCTACTAAATGTAAATGTAATCTATGTATTGCAATCCAACATGTTGTTTATAGACACTATTTAAGCTATATCTAATTCTGAAATTCCAAACACTTCAGTATATACACTTTAAAAATGCAGGGGTGCACACAATTCATTTATGTTGAGCCAAGACAAATCCATTAAGTTATTGTTTCTAATGTAAGAAGATTAACCATAAAACAATTAAGTTTCCCCTGAAAATCTCCAGAATTGTTTCATTTCAGTGCATTTTTTAAGACGTAGTTTGAACAAGCAAGACATTCTTAAAAATAAAGGTAGTTTTTGTGCCATAGGAGAACCATTTTTGGTTTGTGAACCATTTCTTCATAAAGTGACATTTTAATAAAAATAAAAAAAAATGGATGTTAAAGTTCTTCATGGAACAAATTATGTCTAGGAAGAACTGTTACTTTCAAGAGTGCAAGTTATCACTTCTTAAATCAGGCAATGTTCCCTTCTCTAAGCCTTATGTTCCAGGATTTATCCAAAGCCAAATGATCTGAAATCCACTCAGGGCGATCACCGTCCAGCACACTGTCAGTTACCGGATTCTCAATGGAAGTTTGGAATAAAACTGATTTTAGAAAGAGTTCAGATTGTTGCATCCTGTTCGCTTTAAAGCAACACCTTCCTTCCAATCACCCAAGCCTAGCAGAGAAATCTCTTTTCAATTTCACATCCTCTTCTCCGCATCAGTGCATGTAACACCACTGAGACTTCACCTGCAAGAAAAGCAGCAAAACATGAACAAAAATAAAAGAGAACTCACCTCAGGTGGTTGTTGTGTTGTTGTGCCGTGAGATTTTAGATGGCCATAACCCGGGGAGCTCCACAGGGAAGAGGCGTTTGGTTGCCTCGGTGTTGATTTGCAGCCACAGGTATCAGGAACAAGCTTTGATGCAACCAGCAGCTCCAACGAAACACTCCACAAGACTCACTCGCAGCTTAGTTCAGAGCACCAAACTGCCTCCCACAGTGACGTCAAAGCTGCTGGTCACATGACCTGCCTGAGAAGCCTATGAGAGACTCAGTTGCTCTGGCAACAAGAATCCAGCATTGACTCTTGCTGCCACTTGCAAGCCAAAAAAAATGCAACTGTTAACTATAAAACTTTATTACAGAAATAAAAAAAGATGAAAACTAAAAGTTACTATATTTATTATATTATAATACTTTTAGAGCCTTCTTCTTTTTAAATGTAATTTGATGTAATCATTGCAGATATTTTTTCCTTTACAAATTGTAAACTTGATTTATATTATATGGATTACTATATGCTTACAGTTAAATTAATAGTTTTATACAGTGCATGCAAATTTTGTGCAAAAAAAAGTATTTGCATTGCTTTTAGAATGTAATTAAACATCTGTAAATATACAATAACACTGTTAAAACCCTACACATGGCCTTTACAGTGTGATATTGTTAAAGTTAGGGACATATGTGAAGTGAGACCAACTAAAAAAAACATTTGTTTTCAAAATAAATTTAATTTAGACTAAAATTGTATCCCTTTAACTTGTTTTTTTTTACTCTTACTTCATAAATATCCTTACATTTTAATTTCTGCAATTCAAAGACAGTCTTAAATTTAAACAAAATCACAGACAACTACTTTATAGAATTTATTTTGTTTCTTTTTTGCATGGATTATTTTTAGTTTGGGAAATATTCCTAATGCAATAAACTCACTTAACGCAACTGTGTTTGTGTATAGATATAATATAAACATTTTTAGTGATGTTTCACGCAGAAACCATTTTGTTCTGCAAGGACTTTGTTGTCATCATCACATTGATGGCATTGTGAGCGGCGTTAGCTTAAGAGCAGATGTCCCTCACATTGGATTCCATGCCTTACTTAAGCAGATTAAACTGAAGTCAAAGCCTTCTCTCATTAGCTTTAACGTACAGACTCTTTTTAAGGCTACTTGCTGAGTCAGTGATCTGCTGGTCTGCACGGGAAATCAAATTACACCCACAATTGCATGATAACTAAACACCGGCGCACATGCAAAATACAGAGGATGGCATCTCACGCAGACATCCACAGCGTGATTTGCATTCAAAATCAGTGAAACATAATACGCCATAAGATTATGTTTCATAACCATAGCTCTAATGTACACAAACATGCCCTGGTGTGTATAGCTGAGGATGCTATCAATCAGAGGTAGCTCTGTCATAGCTCAGATGATTTAATTACGTTCAAAGCATATGGAATAATGGAGAATTTGATTTCAAACAGTTGAATTAATATTGGTATCTTATAATCTTCTAGAGTTCAATCCTGATCCTGGAGGTCAATGTCCTACAAGAGTTTGCATCCAGCACACTTGCTTGGAAGTTTCCAGTGAGATCTTGGTTAGCTAGTTCCGGTTTGTTTAATGACGGGTGGACCTAAATTCAATAAGACAGTGGCCCTCCAGGACCTGCCTCAGATAAACAAGGGTCTTTTCTCAGGAGAAATGCTGGAGCCTTGCTGTAAGCTAAAGGGCCATATCATACACCAGGCGCAGCAAGGTGCAAGACATGTTTGGCGCGATATGTTGCTATTTTCATACCAGCGCAACTGTAATTTTCCTGTTTTCCGTGACGTCATTTAAATAGCAAATCCATTTGTCATTTTGGGTGTTCTAGTCTAAAAAGGAGATGTATTAAGGTGCATGGTTGGTGCGTTGGTATTTTGGGGAACTGAAATAGATCTCATTAAAAAATAGAGTATATAGCGTCATTGACCAACTGAAAGAAGGTCTAAAGTTCAGCACAGAGTGTGTTAGGGTGCTTTTACCCCTGTGAATCGATTCAGTTGTTTCGAAACAGGGATTAAAATTGTTACAATGTTGCTCTTTGTTCTTTGTGTGGTTCGCTTTCACACGGCAAAGTTTCTAAACGGACCAAAAGAGCTAAAACAAGTCACGTGCGAGTAAACTCTCCTCACATTGGTCAGTTTCACAGTTTATTTTGCAGAGTCCCGCTCAGCTGTCAGGGGGTGGTAGTGCGTGTGACGTGTCTGAAGAGCGAGGACGGATGCGGTGGGGAGGGGTAAAAAAGGATGCACGACGTATTTGAGGAGCGTGAGGGAGACGCGCGATTTCCGGGAGATTATCACTCTTTTGATGGCACCCGGGAGTCTCTGTGCATTTGCGGGAGACTAACGAAACTTCCGGGAGACTTAGGATGTCTGGAATGACCTCCCGCCCTGCTCATAATTCTCTCTTTATATAGCCCTATGCCTATTACATATCCATAAAACACTGTGATATAACCGGGCTCGGATCGTATCGCTTTCTCCCTACAATCAATCCGCTCCAGAGTTCGTTTCAATCTAGCCGAGACCACCTCATTCAAGCAATCTCGGAGCGATTGTTTTGGCGTGGATCCTAGAGCGATTTGTGGATTTACATACAGTATGCCAAACGAACTGGGCTAACTGGGCAAACGAGAAAAAAAAAGTCTAGGTGTGAAAGCACCCTTTGTCATGCACTAATGCAGGTTTATTCATGACAATTTGTATAATGTTATTATTATTAGTAGTAGTATTTATTATATGCATATTTATATTTGTTTTAATAAAAACAATTTTAGATTTGTCCATCTGTCGAGTTTTGGACCATACGGGGCATTAGAATAGGACGTGTGTTTGGATATAACTCTTGTTTTTTTTGACCACACTTCAATATTATTGTTCATTTATTAATTTGCTGGAAATTAGAACTGAATTTAGAAATACTTTTAAAAAGCAAATCTTTGTGCTTAAGAAACAAAATTAAATATGTAGACTAATGGATGTTTCAGTAAAGTGAGTTTTCACCATTTCCTTATCCATAAAAGTAAAGGAGCAAAGCAAAGAGTAAAATGAAGGTAAAATGAAAGTAAAGAGGCCAAATGGAGGAGGCTTGACTGTTTTCTCGCCAGTGAAACATTTCAGTTTTACTTCCAAAGTTTACAGTGTAATAGCAAATGCGCCATGGCATGACGCAGCTGAGAGATGAGAGTGATTGGTTTAATGCACGTTATGCTCAAAACAAACCCATAACTCAGTAATAGATTAAGCACAATGCTGTTTGGCCTTGTGCCAGGGCACATGCAGTATTTGGATTCAGACATGCTCTTAATGCTTTTGCGCCATGAGTCTTAAGGCTGATTTATACTTATACAAGCGCACGTGTATGCTATGGCGCAGCCTACGTGTGGACGCATAGCCCCTCACCGACAACACTGACGCGCACCTCTCAAAAAATGTAACGTGTATGCGTAACACAAGCTCTGTGATTGGTCGGCTTGGTAGCGCTGTCGAGTCTGGGCGGAGGTGAGAGCCGTGCGACTGTGATGCAGCGGGTGTTTACAAGTGTGGAGTCCCTTAAAGGAGCTCCAGATGGTGACTGCTGTTAGGTGTTAACCTTTTGATTAAAGTTGATGCAAGTCCGCCGGTTCCCGCCTCATAATGAGCGAATTTGAGCCACTTCGACATTAAGAAAAGCGTTCAGAAAAAACAAAACACCAGCAAAGAAACTCAACACAGAGAGACAAAAGCACCTACTGCCAGCTAGCGTTTCGGAAGTGTATTGCAGAGCAAGCAGAAGTATAAATGCACGGCTACGCTCAAGGCTTGGGTCATGCCAATCACTTGATACAGAAGTATAAACCAGGCTTTAGACTTTGCACATATTTCATTAAAATAGAGGCCAAACTCTTGGTGAACTCATTTGCTGTTTAAAAATAAATGTCATGAGGACTTTTGTACTTGGTTTGGTTGTCTGCTCCAAAAACCTTTTGGTTTTGAACCATGGATTGTTTGTATCATCTCATTTACAATTACCACTGCCATTTAAATGCCTGTTGAGAAGTCCTCTGAAACTGTAAAAGGGAACATGTGAGGTTGCACATCTCATTTTTTCAGGTGTAAAAACAGAAGATACCATTAGTCTCACCTGATCTCCTTTACACCTATTGTTGGTCGAAGGTTATACTTCTGGTCTTTGATAGAGTTTGATTAGAAATGATTGAGCTCATATTGAGATCTCTGTTAAGTGCTGATGGTTCTTAACCAGACCCTAAACCCTGGATTAATGATCTTTGCATATTTGCGGTGTCATTGTCATTGACTGGATAAACGCAGCACGCAACCTGTATACTCAAAGGCTCTAACATTCTGCATAATCATTTATATCTTTTTCCAACTGCTGTCAAATTATATAAAGGTACCAATTGAGCAGTCTCTTCTTCACTCCAATTCATATGCATTTTGTCACTATTTTCCACCAAATGCTGAAATGGCTTTTGTTTTCATAAATATAAGGCAGGCTGTCAGCTGCAAAACATCTATCAATAATATGTCATTAGCTGGGTTTCTACCACCCTGTTAATGCGCATTTTGAAGTATGAGATACGAGTGATGGAAACACCAAACTTTGAATAAAAATCCCTTCATTTGCAAAAACATTTTTACACACGATGAGGTGGTTTTGGACATTGTGAATAATTGGGGGAGGGAAATGCTTTTTCTGAATAAACTCAGACATAGCAAACATGACACCCCTAAGTATGGTGGCCGAAAGAGCTCAACATGCCATTTACAAAAAACACTTTCTCCGTTTGACAGCACTTATGCTGCAAATCCTCACAATGCATACATATTAAAAATGCGCTGCATTTTCACACAACGCAAACAAGTTAATAAAACCCGCTGCATTTTCTCACAACACTTGCAAAAACATTGGCACACAACAGAAATGTTTCAAAGGGACCCAAAAACACGATGGACGCTGCTGTGCCTTGACTATTACCATACTTCTTTCAGTTTTGTATCTGTATTTGTTGTAATGTACTTTTATTATTGCAATAAAAAAATAAATAAATTGCTATAAACCAATGCTCATTGAAGTTGTTGGTGATCTCTGAAAGGTGAGTTTTTTGTTTGTTTATTGTAATATCCCAATTTCCTTGTC